TACCCTGCCTTGTGTGTGTATGTGTGTGTTCCCCTGTCTTGTATGCGTGTGTGTGTGTTACCCTGCCTTGTGTGTGTATGTGTGTGTTCCCCTGTCTTGTATGCGTGTGTGTGTGTTCCCCTGCCTTGTGTGTGTATGTGTGTGTTCCCCTGTCTTGTATGCGTGTGTGTGTGTTCCCCTGCCTTGTGTGTGTATGTGTATGTTCCCCTGCCTTGTGAGTGTATGTGTGTGTTCCCCTGTCTTGTGTGTGTATGTGTGTGTTCCTCTGCCTTGTGTGTGTACGTGTGTGTTCCTCTGCCTTGTGTGTGTACGTGTGTGTTCCCCTGCCTTATGTGTGTATGCGCGTGTTCCCCTGCCTTGTGTGTGTATGTGTGTGTTCCCTTGCCTTGTGTGTGTTTGCGTGTGTTCCCCTGCCTTGTGTGCGTATGTGTGTGTTCCCCTGCCTTGTGTGTGCATATGTATGTGTTCCCCTGCCTTGTGTGTGTACGTGTGTGTTCCCCTGCCTTGTGTGTGCATATGTGTGTGTTCCCCTGCCTTGTATATATGTGTGTTCCCCTGCCTTGTATATATGTGTGTTCCCCTGCCTTGTATGTGTACGTGTGTGTTCCCCTGCCTTGTGTGTGTACGTGTGTGTTCCCCTGCCTTTTGTGTGCACATGTGTTCCCCTGCCTTGTATATATGTGTGTTCCCCTGCCTTATGTGTGTGTGCGTGTGTTCCCCTGCCTTGTGTATGTGTGTGTTCCCCTGCCTTTTGTGTGTGTATGTGTGTGTTCCCCTGCCTTTTGTGCGTGTGTGTGTGTTCCCCTGCCTTTTGTGCGTGTGTGTGTGTTCCCCTGCCTTATGTGTGTGTGTGTGTGTGTGTTCCCCTGCCTTGTGTGTGTATGTGTGTGTTCCTCTGCCTTGTGTGTGTATGTGTGTGTTCCCTCTTGTGCTCCACACTCATCCAACTTTTGATATTTGATCTGATCTTTCAGGAATATTCTTCAGTTCATAAACATACAACAGGTTGTTTATGAATGATACTTTCATTTTTCTGAATAATTTGGAACTTGGCTGTATCTTGCAATGCAAAGTTGTAACTACAAATGGGTTATGTTTGTTTGTAAATTTCTAAAAATTTGGTTTTTTTTTTCTCACTGCTAAGCAGTAGAGCTCTTTCTACGTTCATTTTAGTAGAAATTCTGAGTTTTGCAGCATGCATCTGTCATTGTATCACTTCTTTTTGCAGTTCAGGACATCACTGGTCTCTTCAGGTTGCCCATTTCATTTTATCACTGCCCTCTGCTGGTTGTTCTATTAATTACAAGACCAGGCAATTATATCCCCGAATCACATGAAAAAACGATTTACAGTGATCACTTTAGGGTCTGTAACAAGTCGTCTGAGTGCTAGTGTACAAAATTACTGCTATAAAAAAGGAACATTTAAAAGGAACATTAAGAGTTTCCTTCACTGGAACTAAAAGTCCTAGCCCAATTCACTGAGCTCTTCAGAACATCCAGCTGTTTCACAAATGTTTATAAACCTCACTGTATGGCTAGTAGAGATGCGCGGATCAGCTAAAATGTCACCCGAATCCGCGGCTTTAAACAAATCATCCACCCGCCACCCGCCACCACCTATAATTTTCTCTGATATAGATATCCGCACCCGCTTCTTCGTTTTTAACAGCAGATTCAGTGACTTTAGAGCTAATCTGCGCATCTCTGATAGTAAAATAATACGCGTATCGTATGCTGCTTTAAATGAACATTTATTCATAAAACAAATTTTGTCTTTGGCCAGATTAACCAACATTTTCTCAATAAAATAAACAGTCTTTAGCCTACTCCATTCAGACTTTAATGGGAATATCACCGTTTCTGTCGCTGCAACACATAAACACACAATGACTGGATAACGGCAAATTTATTAGCCCTATCTATTCAAATAATACAGAATAATATGCTTTCCAAATAGATTAAAAAAAAAGAGAGAACAATTAAGAACTTTTTTTTCCAAAAAAAAAACTCGTAGGCACTTATACAGGCGATAGGCACTTCGCTAAACCGCTCCCACACAGCACTTTTCTTTCCTTCCTTTTGTTTTGTTTTTAATTCTCCCTTTTTTAGTCTCTCTCGCATCTGTTTCGCCTCCATCGACCCCCCTCCTCCCGCCACGCACGTATTTTTTTAAAACGAGAGCGCAAATTAGCGACTGTCTGCCTGATGAAAAATGCATTTAAAACATGTTCGTATTTTAGAGAATGTAGTTGATATTTGCACCATTAATGATTGATCTCATCCACCCGCGACCCACCTACAATTAATTAAAATGTATTTTTTTATTACCCGACCCACCCAACCCGCGGATTATCCGCAGCGCCCGCGGATATAACCGCCATCCGCGCATCTTTAATGGCTAGGTACTCTGAGTGAAACACTTTAATGATTAAGAGGTGTGTCCCAATACTTTTGTCCATGTAGTGTATATTATTGCAATATCAGGGGGACAATACAAACACACCACATTAGGGTAGGGTGACCAGATAATCCATGTCATTGAGGACACTTTGAGCTACTTCGGGTTTTACAAACTACTTTCAAATTGAAAGCCTCCTGTGCTCGGCTAAATAGTTCAGCTCTTCTTGTGCTTTGACTGGCTTGTTTCCTTGACTGAAAGTCATCCAGCCGTTTCACATTAGCATTAGTGACACATGCATGATTATAGGAGACTGACCAATCAGCACACAGCAAGAGCTCAGCGCTGAAGTGAAATCCAGGTCCGTTTAATTGGAATGGTAATTTACAATTCCTGTCCTAGCTCAGAGTGTCCTCCCCGACATGGATTATCTGGTCACCCTACATTAGGGGAACACTACATTGTCATCACAATATAACCAAGTTCCCCAACATGTTTAAGTTCCATATTTATGCACAATCAGACCACTTGATAAACTCTACCTCTGTGAATTGCTCACCCACCAAATTACCAGCACCATTGTGTGTGTGTGTGTGTGTGTGTGTGTATGTATATATACACAAGCGGATCAAGAGTCACGTGCAGTTTGGATGAATCAGACGGATAAATTAAGCAATGGCCTTTTAACGCAATGCCCTCGCCTTTCCACCAACCGTGCCAGCGCCATAAGTAAATGTATAAGTAAATGTAGCTCCAGCATGCTTGTACCTGATGGTGCGTTCGTTTATGTCTCGGAACTCGGAAATTATCTAAAAGACATAGCTCACTTGAAGCAAATTTATTAAATTTTAATGTTTAATGTCCTAGGTGAGGGACAGCACGTCCGACAATCTCCACTCTCCAGTTCGAGCTCACGTCTCGGAACAAACATGGCTGCCTTCAGGAACACGCTGCTGTGTGTGACGTGACGTTTTCATCCGAGTTCCGACTGAGAAAGAAATAATCGAACGCAGGATAATAACATACCAGTACGGGGGCACACAGCGCACAGTTTGACAGCCAACGAGAGGCGTCGGATGAGCTTGTGCGATCAATCACACTGTTCATGAACAGTGAGGTTTAAGGTTAGCTATGCAGTTGTTGGTGAAACAGCGGAGGAAGTGAAAAATGCTGCAGATCGGGGACGGAGCGGAGATCCTGTCGGTGCTGTTCGCGCTGGCCCTCGCCGGGACCCGCAACGCGGTCCTGTCCGCCGTGCTCATTGCCGCTCTCTACGCTTTGCTGGTCCTCTCTCGTTTCCCGCAAGTGCCGGCGAGCCGGAGCGAGCAAGTCCTGAGGGGCCGGAAGAAGGTGCTGAGCGGCGGCATCTCTGTGATCGCACACCGTGGTGGCGGACACGACGCGCCTGAGAACACCATCGCAGCGATCCGGGAGGTGAGTCCCGCCACTGATTCCCATATTTTTTCATAAGCTACATGTCAGAGGAACTGCTGTTAAATGTTTCGACTCACTTTGCATGACTCTTAAGCCGGAAGATTACCTTTAATCAATGGTTAACTATCAGTGTTAAGATACAGAATAACAGAATAACGTTCGCTAGCATCAACATATATAGGAAAATTGCTGCATTGTATAGCAAGTGCAAAATCTGTGTTAGATTTGAAACAAGGAAGTACGAGGTAAGTCTTTTATTGAAAACAGCTGTACTGTGCAATAAGCATGGGAAGTACAGGAAACAGCTGCTCTTGACAGCTCTTCTCAGACCATATTAGCAAAAGCAGTTTGCATATGCAGCAGCGCAGAGTGATCGTGCATGCACTGCATGTCACTGTGTTACTGAATTGCAGACACCGCATTATCTCTCACTCCTCCTCATCCTCCCCTTCCTCCTTCATGTCTTCTCCCCCAGGCCAGTGCGAACGGGGCTACGGGCGTCGAGCTGGACCTGGAGTTCACTGCTGATGGTATCCCAGTGCTGATGCACGATGAGACCGTGGACCGGACCACGAATGGGTCTGGGCTTCTGAAGCAACTCCGCTTCGCTGATCTCAGTAAATTGGACGCTGCGGCCAGACACCGGCTCAGGTGAGAGGAAGCCTTCCTGTATCACCAAGACATACTTAACCCACATTTATTTTTAAAATATCCTTCTACATTGACATTAAAATTTAATAAATTTGCTTCAAGTGAGCTATGTCTTTTAGATAAATGTCTCCTTAATAAATATATAATAGATATATATGGGTGCATCGATAATTTTGGAAGGGCTACATGATGCTGCTTTCTAAATTTTTAAATGAAAGAATGTTGTAGAGGACGGCATGGTTGCCATTCAAACCGGGGCTTTTGGCAGAGAGAAGTTCCACGGAGAGAAAATCCCCACCCTGCAGGAGGCCGTGGAGGAGTGCATCTCACTCCAGCTGACCATCTACTTTGATGTCAAAGGTCACCCCGATGAGGTATGCATCCCTGAAACTCAGCAAGATGTCAAAATTGGCGGTGTTTGTTCGTACTTCACATACTTCTGTTCTCGTGTCCCCGTTTACGTCACCTTGCACTGACAAAGACTGGGTCCAATACTCAAAAACAGAAGTACGGAGGACAATAAAAATCCCCAGATGTCATTCTTGCCCCGCCCCAAATATCAATGGTCCATCGATTGCACCCTTGCCACACGAGACCAATCCCATGATTCATTGTGGCCCAAGTTTGTCCTTGGGAGGCAAGCTAGCAAGACCGGTCTTGCCAAGACCGCGAGTTCGATCTTTGTGTTCTTGGTATTGAGGAACATCCCTTTGTCTGAGACGGCAGGTGCAGACAGTTCGTTCTTTAATAGGGTGTGTTCATGAATGAAAGGGGGGGTGTCTCAGTCAGACTAACCTGTCCAGCATCTCCCAGCCTGGCCCCAGGTTAGCATGTCCGGAATTTAACCCTGTGTGTGTGTGTGTGTGTGTGTGTGTGTGTGTGTGTGTGTTTGGAACGTGATAATTATTATAAATTAATAATTTATTGTTCCTGTCCTCATCTCTCACAGGCAGCCGCTGTTTTGAAGGGGCTTTACAAAACGCACCCGGTTCTCTACAACACCAGCATCGTCTGTTCCTTTGAGTCCACTGTGATCTACAAGGTACTCGTGTGTTCTGGCACGTTCTGTCACTCCTCTCCATGGAGAAAACGGTGGTAAAGCGTGTCATTTCTGCTTCTTTGGCCTGTTAGTCGGGCCTCAGACCCAAATGGAATGGGAGAGGGGGTCTTTTGTTCTCTAGAGCATAGTAATCACTGCCAGCGCTTATGGTACAGTGTCCAGCTGCATACATAGTAGCGAGTTATAATATTTATTTGGATGAAAGCATTCACTGCACAAATGAACACTGTAAGCTTTAAACTGGCTGTCCCAACTCTGCACGCTGTTCTGTGTGGCTGCATTTACAGCCCGTCCTGCCATACTTGAGTTCTGCCATGAAGTCCAGTTTCCCCGAATCTTAATTAATGGGACAGTAACAGTGTTTACTAGGGGGTTATGACCACTGGTCACTGGTTCAAATCCCAGAGTCAGTAGAATGAAGCAAAATCCCTTAAACCCTAATTGCTCTGGTGGTTAGCTGTCCCCGCTTTCTCAGTAATGTATGGTACCAGTCAGAAGTTTGGACACACCAAGCTGCCTACAAAGGAGAGTGATGGTGTCGCATCACATGACCTGGTCACCTGACCTAAACTCAGTCGAAATACTTTTAGAGGAGTCTGACCAGAGAGTGAAGGCAAAGCGGCCACTGAGTGCTCAGCGTGTCTGTGGGACCTCCTTCAGGACAGCTGGTAAAGCATCCCAGGAGGCCGCCTCATGGAACTGGCTTGGAGGAGACAGTAGGGTCTGCCAGTCCCTGGGGCAGCTGGGGTTAAGGGCCCAATTGTGGGATCATTCTCCCCACCGTGGGACTTGAACCAGCAACTTTCTGAGTCCCACACCAAGAGTTTTGATGTATTTCTACATTTTAGAATAATTATAAAATCGTACAAATAAACCTTTCTATGGGTGGGTGTGTCCAGACTTTTGACCGGTACTGTACGACATCTTTAGATCTGTGTCTGTCTCCGTACCATTTTCAACGGACCTGAAGCCTGAGAGTTAGCTGAGAGTCTGGGCCCCATTTGCTCCTGGATCTTCCCGCCTCAGATGCGGCAGGCTGACCCCGAGGTGGTGACGGCGCTGACTCACCGGCCATGGAGCATCAGCAGGCTGGGCGATGGCACGCCCCGCTCCTCCTCGCCGTGGAAACACCACTGGAGCCAGGCTCTGGACGTGCTACAGGACTGGGCCATCCATCACCTTCTCTGGCGTGTGTGCGGCGTGTCGGCCATCTTGGTGCAGAAGAGCTTCATCTCCCCGTACGTCCCTCTTCCTTGTTTTCTCCTCTGACCTTGTCATTGTCATTCTCTTCTGTGGCCTTTCCATTTCCAACTACTGTTGCTAGTGTAAGTACAATTATTATTGTAGCTACTTTATTGTATTCTACATGCTGCAGATTGCTCTCAGCATTTTATTGGCCGGCTCCTATTAGCAGTCCTGAACAGCCTATTAGGCGACACAGGTGGCCTCTTGACACTCCATCGGGAAAAGGAGCCCTAATTTGCAAGATGTTTTCACTGTGACAGACAGGGGGCGCTGGTGGTGAGGCAGCTGTTTGATTGGTTCTGCTTGCTTAAGCTTCATATGTTGAAGAGAATGATTGGACATTCCAGTGGCTTAGTGGATTAGGATTGTGTCTATGATCAGGAGATCTCTGGTTTGAATCCTGCTCCTGCTGTAGGGCTCCTGAGCAAGGCCCTTGGCCCCCAGCTCCAGGAGCACTGCACATTGGCTGACCTTTGACCCCCAAGCTATGAAAAATGGTTTTCAGAGACCATAGTAGAATTTTCAAACTCCAGCCCAGCTCTTCCTTGCTTCTTATTAATGAAGGGCTTCTTCCTTGCTTTATGGGTCTTCAGTCCTACTTCTAGGAGCCTTTTATGAACTGTCCTAGCAGTGCACCTCACAGCACTTAATGTTTCCTATTCTTTTTGAAGGTCATTTGAGGTCATCCTCCGATTTATGAGGCACTGCTGAATAAGTTGACAGTCATCTCTGGCATTAGAAAGTTGCTTCTGCCCTCTACCTGGCTGGTTGTTGGTTACTGACAGTGTCTCCTGCTTCACCTTGTTCTTGTGTGCTGCCGTCTTAGAAACTTTGAGCCTGGAAGCAACCTGCCCTGCAGTGTAGCCTCTGCCAGCAGAACCACAAATAACCCAGTATTTAAAAATGCATATTTAAAAATATCGAGTGATCGCTTAATGTATGTATGTGTCGCAAAGGGAGAAAGTGGGGGTAGGAGAGAGGAGAATTCCTCCATGGGAATTAAGAAAGTGTAACAATTCTGTTTTACAGGGACTATGTACAGTTCTGGGCGAAACGGGGTGTGGAGGTGGTTGGTTGGACCATCAACACGGCCGTGGAGAAGCAGTACTACCAGGATCTGCTGAAGATCAATTATATCACGGACAGCCTGAAGGAGGACTGTGAACCTCACTACTGAGCTCGCCGCAGCGGGCTGCGTGTGGACGCGGCAGGACACACACACACACACACACACACACACACTGAGGAAAAAACATGACACGCACAATTTGAGGCTCTGCCGTCGAACATGCCTGTAAACATATTGGCTTACTTCTAACACATTGATTAAAACCCATTTCAGTTTAAGGAAACGTGATCCTTGAAGGGATCTGCCTGACAAACATGCCCAGATGTGCTGCAAAGCTACGGCTCTGCTTTCGCTCGCTTGTCCCTTCATTCTTCCTGAATAGACCCCTTTCCAGTCAGCGCTGCGGTGCTGTACTGTGCTTACAGTAGCAGTCTGTCGAGGTTTAAGTGCTTCCAGCCCTTAAAAATGTTTCTTATGGAGCAAACCGGGAGATTAGCGTTTGTCTACAAGATGTTTGCAAGCATCTTACTGTGTGATGTGGTTTGAAACTAGGGAAATTACTGTCAGATCCTTTTGAATATTAATCGTTGCTTTTATATAGATGGGTTATGTCTTGTCAGAGAGCCTATTCTGTCTGGAAAGAGGAAATGAAATTCAGGATGAGTCAAGACACTACATGCTTAGACTAAATATGACATTTCATGCAGCTAACTTTCACTTGTTGATTACATTGTAAATTCGGGGGAAAAAAATCTTAAGTTGAGACCTTCGTACCTTTTCCAAATAGGACCATTTGTGGCAGTATGAAACTTAACAGCCAGACTTTGCTAGATCGTATCAGTCAATCATTGTGTTGGTCACCTCCAGGGCCATGGGCAGGGTCTGAAAAACAGTGAGGACCGGGATCGGGCCATGGGGGGCGGGTTTTGTCAATCACATTATTGATACTGTCCCTTTCTGTTATGTGAAATCATAGTTAGCCCAATTTTTTATTCAGGTGAATAGCTTCCAATTTTATTTTTAGCTCTTAACTTTAGCTCTTAAGGTCCGGAGCTGGGTGACCTCATAGCTGGTTACGGCCCTGGTCACCTCAACGGACAAAAACAAAACAAATGGCAGAGTGCATTGTGGATGTGATTAAGGTCGGGACACACTTAAACCTGCTCATGATTTCAATCCTTGCATAATTTCAGGTTTGGTGCATATGGCAAAAAGGAAAATAAAATATTTGAATTGTATTCTAAACAAAAGCAACTGTGCTTTGGCATGGTATGTGTTATAATAAACCATAATTTATCCATTTTAAAGTCTTTTGATGTCTTCCATTATGAAACTGAAATAGGATTTCACTATTCCTCTAAACCAGAATCTCACAGATTTTTTACATACATTTTATTTGACGCAGTACTTCCGATTACTCTAAGACCTCCCCCTTTGCTCTGATGTTGAGGATCAGAATTTTTTTTCCTGTTAACGAGTTCTTAGTGGTTATACGAAGCAGAATCGGATACGTATTTGATTAGACGTGGAAAAACGTCATTTCTTGACGGATTTAATCGCATATAGGTTGTAGTAACATTTTATATTATTTGATTCATTTTATAACAAAGTGTCACAGAAAAGACACGTCTCGTTTTCTAATCTCTGAATCAGACTGAAATGCATATTTCTCCACGTGTTCGCGTAGGCTGCTTCCAGATACTAAAGGCTGCCTATTTCTATGAACCATGTGCACCTACACCCTGGCCTAGGATCCAGATGGCTGAATCTGTGTGGATAAGACATTTTATGAAGCGCATATATTCATCTTTAATTCGGTCAGCTACGTGAATATTTAAATCAATCATGCTTCTGAAAGGACGTTAGTACCAGACAGTGGTGTTACCGAAGTACATTTTATTTCAATAGCCTGCCGTAAATGCAGTGCTTATTACCGAGACCAGGTAGGCATGTTGTAAATTGCTTAGACTCCCATTTTAAAGAAAATGTAACACATAACGGACATACGTTACGCACGTAACGATATTAAAATGTTCATAATGTCGACGACAGAATGCAGCTCTACCCCGGGTTACAAACCCCGCCGGCCCCTTTTCCAGTCGTTCCGCCCTTCCCACCGTCCTTCACATTCACCTTGAAAAACACGACTATGCATTCAGACACTTTAAAAACAGCACAAAAAATGAGTAGTAGTGGGACACCGAAATCAGCAGTTTTCCAAGACAGATTCAGGCAGCTTGTTTTGCTTAATGAAGGGACATCAGTAATAACCAGCCCTAAGATCCTCAGTGTGGTATTAACCTACGCATAAAAACGCCGGGAGCGGCCAGGCGGCGATGCTCGGGATCGCCGTCATTTTATAGGTGAAGGGTCACCGAGCGCGACCTGAAGGGCGCCCCGCCCCCCGGCGTCTGCGGCCCCCCGACGTCACCATGTGGCCCGGCGCGCGCCGCCAGTCCGCTGCGGCTCACTGACAGTTTCATTCGCTCGTGTGGTTCTGACTCACTTACCCTCCGAATTAAGTTACGTATTTAAAAAAATCTTTTAGCAAAGAGAGGGGGAATCAGTCTCAGTCTGCAGGTAGTTTTTCTAGTTGTTTAATGTAACCTGTCCGGGGGGAGACGGCATTAAGATGCGTGCGCGATCGGGCACTTTGAGTGCGTGAAACGGAACGTCGCGGTGCCGAGATCGCTTTTGTGACCGCGGCCAGCGGCCCCCGTTTGTCCGGGAAACTGGCAGAGGCGCAGCAGCTGACTTGGAACGACTCGCTGCGATATTTTTCCACCGTGGCTGCGCCAGCAAGCCCGACCTAAAAGGGGGTATTGCTGGGACTCCATGCAGATAACCGTGCTCGTCTTGCTACGCTTAATACACCGACTCAGGCTGTCTGGACGCGCTTCTCCCCGTCACGCTGAAGTTTACCGGGGATTTTTAAGCACATGATGTACACAATAACCAGAGGTCCCAGTAAACTTGTTACACAACGGAGAACAGGTGAGTGGCTTGGGGTCGCCCCCAGTTATTTGTATTGGTGCGTTTAATACCACAGACAGATCCTTATGGGATTCATCACATGCGGTAGTTTAGAATGGAGGCGATCCTATACATATAGGTTTTGTGCAGCTTCGCATGGTTGTACTTAAGCAGAACTATCACGGATTGCTTAAATTACTGACCACAGAAAGTCAGGGTGGAAACTGCCTGGACTGTAATTGAAACGACGAATGCATAATGTGCGTTTTACACCACGATGCGAGCCGATTAACTTCTGAATAACTTGTTTATCTGTTCTTGCTATTGGGAGGTCCGACGACGCAGCAAATTGAAAATAAAGCAAGCGACTTTAAGCACAAACAGACACCCTGGACTGTAGCAAAGTAAGTAAAGCCAGCATTTCGGCGTGTAAGCGCCCATACATGTCTCTGCAGCGTGATCGGGTGTGTGATCGGGCAGCACTAACAAAGTCATGTTCCGCTCACATGGTAATGTAATATTAGCCATAGCGTCACGGCCCACGCAGTTTTTAACCAAGAACTGAGGGATTTGCAGTTTTAAACCCGAAGTGGCTGTGAATACTTCGAAAATGTTTGCATCAAACATTAAATGTGTCTCCCTCCGCCTTGCGTGCACGTCGCGCTGCCTTTTAAACAGAAACGGGGTGACCTTGTGTGAGGCAAGGTGAGCCGCCGGTGGCCGCCGGTGCCGGACGGAAAGGCGCTCCGGACAGCCTGCTGATCGCCGATATTCATCTTCATTTCAACGAAGATAACGCGTTTTCATAACTATATGTAATGTGTTAGCCGAAGGTCCGTGTCCGTGTCCATCGGCTGCTTCGGGACGGTCTGCAGTAGGAGTTTGCTGCCAAGGCCTGTTCGCTTTAGAGCGGCTGGCATTTTCATTACCATTCAGGCTCCTGACGCTCATATTTTATGTGATCGCGGGTCGCCAGACGAAGATGCGGTGACCCTCAAACTGGTGTAATTAAATATGTCGGATTTATATCGTTTAGCCAGCGTTACCATAGAGACCCAGGAGGAGGAAGGAGGCGGTCCCCTGCTCCGCGCACATGCCGGCAGCCCGTCCTCTTCTTCCTTCCCTCTCCTGTCCATTACGTCATTCTCACCCGTCCAAGGGTCTGTAACAACAAGGACGCGCAAAGGTTTATCCGCGGGGAGAAGTTCTCATTCTGATGAGATCTATTTTTGTAAAGAAAATTTACTTAAAGAAAATGTACTTAAACCACCCCTTTCATGTGTTATTTAAGGGTTAAAGAAAAAAAGGTCTGAATCTGTGTGGATTCACAGACCTTATTATACACATTTAAAGTAAAAGTACTGCTAATATATGTGGAACTTATAAGGAAATCTTACTTTTCAAAGTTCTGGGATGTTTTCCTGGGTTGGCGTTTAAAGACCAGTTACTTTGCTTATTAGAACAGTTCAATATCTTGTGTCGTCAAAACGTAGACCAGTGGCAAGGATGCAAAAAGATGCGTCAAAGCAACACAAATATGCAAAAGTATTCTGACTGTAGAAAGCAAGAAAGCAAATGTGAACATGAAACAAAGCGACAAAGAGCACATATGGTCACCCTAGGAAGACGGAAATTCGAAAGGTAGTTTCCTCCAGTTACTGCTGAATGTGAGAATCCATTTCATGTAACTCTCCTGTTGTTTTCCTGTCCTCCCAAAGTTCTCCTGCTCCAAAGCTTGTGTTCAACCGGCTGAACGGCAAACGGTACCACGCAGCGCCCCCCCCACAAGTCGACTCTCAACCAGAAGGTTTCACTCCAGCCCACGAAGAGAATGTCAAGTTTGTGTATGAAGGTATTTACCACCTTCTTGTGCTTATTTACTCATCGGTTGCTCACCCTGTTTATCACCTTCTTGTGCTTATTTACTCGTCAGTTGCTCACCCTGTTTACCACCTTCTTGTGCTTATTTACTCGTCAGTTGCTCATCCTGTTTAGTTGCTTGTCTCTCTTCTTACTTATTTTTATTATCAGTGTAAAACCTGTTGGGCTGCAATTTATGTATGAATACTGCTATATAAATAAAGATAAAGGGGCAGGTTGGAGTTGATTGGAGAGTGAAACTGGGACAACTTAGTAAAAAAATGTGCTTCAGGCTGAGGTTTTATCATGCTGATGCAAGCTTACACAGTTGTGTCAATAGATTCCACGTTCTGCTGGATCCGGAACCTCTGGATCAGGTGTAGTGAGCACGGCATCTTATCAGCCCAAAGCAACATGAGAGCAACGTTCAACGGCTCTCTGCAACTGCCGTCTCAAAGGCTTATCACTCCAGTGATGTTTCCTTGACAAAAAAAAAGGGCTGCAGTTAATCCCATCCGAGAGCCAAGGACACTTATCCACTGTTCCAGTGAGGGACCCCGGCGGAGTCCGGGTCTGCTCTGCTTGAGACAGCCGACTCCCTGACTTTTGTTTTTGTTATTGCTCTGATCGAGATCGGGGCCCCTGTTACATCATCTTCACCTCAACTCCAAGAGTCATGAGCAAATGCTGGGTTCTTTCTGTTAAATTGGGGCAGAGAAAGAAAGGGAAGGCCGATTATTCTGAAGGACCTGCTGTGTTGATACTCATGGCATGGGGCCTTCTCTATTGTAACAGCTGATCTACTCAAGAAGATTTCCATCCTAAATCCTCTATGAACCAGTTAAGCGCCCCAGGTTGAGGGGGAAAAAGTTAGATTGAGTAGATCGTGGACTACCCAGACTGGGTAGACCGAAAGAGGTCTTTGGCTAGCTGTCTGTTTTCTGGAACACTGGGAACCATAAATGCCAAACTGTCTTGCCAGTTCTCAGGAATTTATTGCAGAACAAGTACTACTAATTTCCCCCGGTTTGATAGCCAGATTCACTGACTGATGGATGCTGGACTTCAGTTGACTGCAGGCGGAATTCAAGCCAGGGGAGGTCATAGGTCTCAGAAGTGGTAGTTATGTTTGGAAGAAGTGGTCTGTGTTTTATGTAGCACTTTTTTGTGTAAACGTTTTGCTTTTTTTGCAAGGATAACAAAAAAACAAAAGAGGCTTAGTTCTTGCGTAGGGCCAGAGTTCCCAGAATGCCTCAGGCGGAAGTTTATTTTCTCTGCGGGAATGAAGAAGAGGGTTCAGTGTCGGCGCTGCCCCTTAGGAGTCCAGCCCAGTCTGCTCTGCGTCCACTTCTGTTTAAGAAGAAAACAAAACTGATCAAAGTGACTTTGAAGATGCGGTTCTGAATTTGCCTCCTTTGCAGGACAGATCAGGCCATTTCAAGGTTAAAGAGAATACAGGAATTCTTCCTTTCCTTTGTCAAAAAATGTCTTCACTCTAGGACTGGTGTCCTGCTGCCTTCATAATGAAAATGAGTTGAGTGTAATTAATCCAGTCAACTGTGCTCATGCTGTGCTGAAGAGAGGTTCAGTCTCTCCATAACCTTTACTTATAACTCTGGAACTGCCAATGGTCCCAGAAGTTGGTCAGAAAACGTAAAAAAAAAACACATTGTTATTTCAAATTCAAAGATGATTAAATTATAAGAACTCAAATGTTTCTATCCTATTTATGATGTTTTCTGAGCATAATGCCATTAAAAGAAACGTATAATATTTCAGCATGGATGCCAGGTGAAATGTGCACTTCCTGTTTGTGTTCATGAATAACAGAGTATCCGCTGCTGAAAGCATGTTAACATGTCAGTACCTCAGTAAGGGTCCAACGTTCTGTATCTATCATTGTCCTTTATTCAAAAAACAAGTTAAATTGGGCAAACACAGAAAAATCTCCCCCTCTTTACTCAATATCAGTGACATCATCTGTGTTTACCTGTGGATTTTAATAAGTAAACTTCATATACACATGACTCAGCTTTCACTGAATTCTTGGTTTTTGGCATTACGATTTGAAATAGACTCAAAGGGGATTGAAACTTATGTTTTTATAATTTAATCATTTTTGGACATTTTTTACATTTTATTCTGGAAAAAATTTTTATGATTTTTTTTATGTTTTCCTTTTTTTACGGAGGTTTTTACCAACTCCTGGGACCGCGAACAGGCCCTAGAATGCTCATGTTTAAAAAGCAGCAATATTCCTTATAATAGCCTAACGATAAAAGCTTATTTATATAGCACTAAAACTGGGATAAATAAAGCGATTTGCGGAACTTACCAGTAACTTACCAGTTCTAGTTCTTGGGTCCATTTTTGCTTATAGTAAATAATGAGAAACCCTTTCATCTTATTGTCTAACTCTTTTATCTTCCCCCTGGGTAAATCGCAAAATCGCATGTCAAGGACATTTTTCAGTTTCAGTTATATCAGTTTTGCTGGAGATGTGCATTGCAAGAAGGAATGGTGAGATGGATTTGAACTCGCAGTGGGTGAAGCGCTGAGGTGAAAGGACTGAATTCCTCCGTAATTTATTTTCCTGGGTCCTAATGGTGCTGTCATACATGCCAGTATGTCATGTGCCATGTACGTTGGTGCTCATGCCGCCGTACGTCTGCATCGGGGTTAGCCTGTCTGCGTGTGCGTTGGTGCTCATGCCGCCGTACGTCTGCATAGGGGTTAGCCTATCTGCGTGTGCGTTGGTGCTCATGCCGCCGTATGTCTGGGCAGAGTGGCAGCAGGTGGAGCAGCGGTTGGCGGACGGCACCCAGACAGATGGAGGCCAAGGTCCAGTCCAGTACTCCGAGAAGACGCCCAACCCTGGCATGAAGAGTGAGTCATCGTCAGCGTTGCCTCCGTCTCACTCCTGTCCGCTTCCCTCCTCCGTCTCTGCATGTCCGCGCTCGCCATGTGATACTCTGACAGAAGTCTTGCAAACATTCGCTTTTCAACACTTCTCAAGATTCAAGATTTTTATTCTGCCACATACATGAATGGAGCAGTGCGCCAGCATTGAAATGAAACTGTCACAGCAAAGTAGGAGGATAACAAAATAAAATGCGGACAAAATAAAAACTGAAAATGTAGAAATATGTAAAGAGTATTTAAAAAGTAGAGAAAAAGTTATAAAAATATTTTCAGAAAATATATAAGCTGAAGGTTGCAGCTGTAACTTACAATAATCGGTGGTGTTAATGATCCTCAAAGCACTTCATCTACACCGAGGTCAGTGCATCAAGACGGTCGTCATTTAGGCAGGCTTGTTTTTTTGGAAATTCAGTGCACTGTATTTACAGATACATTTTAAAACCACACAATTTGTACTATTACAAATGCAGACTTTTTTTTTATAGATAAGAATTCAAAGTAGTTTCAACATTATTTTCAAAACAGAACATTCTCACACAGCTTCTGCACCTTGGTGTTGCACTGGGCTCTTCTTCCAACCTTCCAACACCCCAAAACTGCCGGTCACATGTTCCTGTAAACAGGACCAGGATGGCTGGCTGCCTCACCCAGACCTTTTCTCCAGGCTGGCTTGGGGCTGTGGTGCATGTTGGGTGCTCTCTTCTCACTTGCTGTCCTGGATGTATCCTTCACCTTTTCCTTCCAGCTACGATCCTGAATCCCCTTTAAGATGCATGAATGCTAGGGGGTGTAACGGTACGTAAAAATCACGGTTCGGTACGTTTTCAATACAGCGGCGGTAAAAGAAGCAAAACATAAAGTGCTTCCTTTGATCTTTATTAAAGAACAAAGTACTGAACAAAGTATGACTTAAAAAGTCTTAGTCTCTGTCAATACTACTGCACCCTACTAATAAACTAAATTTTACTTGAAAGTAAATCAAAATAAATATTATCAAGTAAATAAAAATAAAATAAATATCCTTTTAAGGTGCACATTAACTATACCTGATCTGTACTGTATTCACATTTGCAGCTTTCAACTTCATATTAGAACTGTGCAACACAAATATCGTCTCAAAAAAACAAAGCAAAACAAATTAAATATCTGTTATGGTGCAGCATTTAAAAAATACCTTTGCTGTACTTGTATTCACATTAACAACGTCCAGCTTCACGTTAGGACGTACACGCTCGTGTAGCGACGCGGCTTCATCCGGCCCTTTCCGAATGTCGCTCGGGGGAAACGCGCAAACACACAAAGGTTTTGCATTTGCTACATATTGGTACCGAACCGAAAGACCCGTACCGAAAATTTTTGGTGGAAATACGTGTACCGTTACACTACTAATGAACGCACCTTTGTCTGCTGGGAAAGTCAGTCCGCCCCCCCCCCCCATTACTTGAGGCACCAAAGCTTGGATACATGACCCATCTCACTCCATTCCTTCCCGATTTTCTGTTTGCCATCTCATCCTCATTCCTGCAAAGCCTCTCTCTGCCTGCTTTGCTCCACGGGTCCTGTGACAGCTCCTGGGCCGTAAACGATGTATTTGTCCATTATTTAAGTTTCATAAGACTTTAAGACATTTAAAAAGACTGAACAATGCATCAAGAACGATTCTCCTTGATTCTCCATTCCCCATACCAGTTCACCTGTGCAGTACCTGGTTTTTGAGGTTCTGTATGTACCTAGAAGGCCAGAGGGCTTGCGAGTTCCCCCCTACATCAGCTGTGCTCCCTTTCTCCCCTGCAGACTTCGTCCCCATCGACCTGGAGGAGTGGTGGGCACAGCGTTTCCTGGCCAACATCGTTAACCTGTCGTGATGGGAGAAGCCCGGTTAATGACCAAGGAGCCACGTGGATCTGAGTGGGATGTGGGTGGGTTTGGCGTTAAGGAGAGAGCAGCCAGTGCTCGCCTTCAGCCTGGGTGGGCAGCGTGAGAGTCTGCCAACGGCTCTGCCACCCCTGCCCTAATATCTCTCCAGTGTGCCAGACCGAGGTATGAAGACCTCTTTCTTTCTTTGTTAAAGAAAATGAAAAAAAAAAAACATGTTGTGTGTAGAGACCACAAGTCTGTGTTACTTGCCTGGTATTTGCATAAAACAAGAAAAAGAAAATAAAAATGGAAAATGTATTTTCAGGACATTGTTGGCATTCGGTGTGAAATTCCTCAACCTCGAAACAAACCAGGTGCAGCTGTCGGTTTTCTAAATAGCAAATACTGGCATCTGCAAGGTGTGGCTCATGCCCGGCGCCAGTTAGACTTACAGCAATAACAAACGTTTCATATTTTCTCCGTTCTCCAGTGATGCTTCAGATCGTCAAACTTCAGCGGAAAAAAAAGGTGTTGTTTTGCAGTGTTACCATGTACATCACCAAATACACCAGCCTCCCCTCTCCTCATAACCCCAGAATGACATTTGTTGCTGTGTGTATATACAGAAAGAAATTCACAGCTGTCCCCAATACCAATTCCATGTTGGGGTGTTCCCCAGAATTTCCCCAGATACCAGTATATGCACTATATCACCAATAACCAGACTCTAATCTGAAAGGGGAGGCTGCAGCTAAACATCACGAGTATCTTTTTGAAGCTGAAGTAGCCACACCTCGTGTTTTTGCTCTTGGTATATAATAATAATAATAATCATAATTATTTTTATACTGCATTTGTCAGACAGAAAAAAAGGTTTTGAAAAATGTTCTATCACAAATGAGCACATGTAGAATTCCCAACTTTCCATTTTCAAAGGTACTAAATGACATCACTCTGGTTTATTTGCAGTGGTTTTTAATAAATAGATTAATATCCTTCTGCTTTCAGTTATATACCTGGGGGCAAAAGAGTACAAAATAATATGCATAAAAACACAAACACCCTTCAACAAAACATTTTTCTTTGAAATTCATTATTTAGAGACTTTACAAGAGCAATAAATGTACAAAAAAAACTAAAACATAAAATACAAAATTAATTATGTAAGCTCAAGACTGGTAAGGTTGCTTATGCGCAATTGAAAGCTGCCATAAAAAAATCACTTTTGTGATTAAAAGGACTAAAAAAACAACTGTGTGTGTGCGTCACTACCTGCTCCCACAGTGGAGGAGGTCAGATGTTTAACACCAGATAGGCTCTGAAACTTGACCTTCAGAAAACAGACCAACACTGATTATATGAACAGAAAAAGAGCAGGCTCTTACAATGCATGAACAGTACATCAGTGACATCATAAGCATGTTTAACACACGACGGAGGCATCGAATCGCAAAGCTGTGACTCGCACTGCAAACATCCAGGTCACAGCTTCAAGATCTGTCCATAGCAGACTATGCAATGCTGTGGTTCCACTCCTCCCTTCCCAGTTTGCACCAAGGTCTGGCTCATGCTGAGGTCTTCACTGTCCCTTTAAGCCTCCTGCCACGCCCCCGCCCCTTGCCCCTCCCCCGAGGCAAGCTGGCCTTGGCAGGGTTGGCTGTCGTGAACGTGATGCACTGCGAATCCAAGAAGTCCAGCAGCTTCGCAGCACCCAAGCGGATCCCGGCCTCTTTCAGCCGGGCCTGCAGCTGAGAGAGAACCAGGGGCTGGTACTGCAGGATCTGCGCGTAGAGCTCAGGGTCGGACTGGAGGAGATGGCACACTGCCTGCAGCTTCATCGCATCGCGTGACACGGCCTGAGACGCCGTCACCTCGTCACTGTCGGAGTCGTCGTCAGACAAGGGGCAAAGTTCTGGGTTGGACCTGAGGCCAAAAAAAAGCAGATGATAGGACCATCTTCAGCACCAAATGACTGATGACATTTCTGAAAACAGTGAAGATGGTTCAAGTATTACCAAATCACCTTAAAAACACCCCAATCGAGAGCCTTCAGAAACAACCTGGAATTACACATAATTATTTTCGCATACGAGTTCCACTGCACCAAAGTACTAATTCCAAATAGTAATATTAATCAGATTTTCACCAGAATACATACATTTGTAAAAATGCTTTAGATGTCTTTTTTAATATTTCAGGGTGAAACAAATATAATGAAATAATATGACTGTTACAATCATATATTAAGAGATATTCAATGTATATCCTTGGGCTGTTAGTTAATACAGCCTCCCCTGAATTTACAGTATTAATTCATTCCTAAAAATGACTAATTCGACAAAATGTAAATTGAAAGCCAATTTACATTATTTTAAGTGGAAATAGCACTTCTAATCCTCCGCAATAACCCCAAAATTCTTCAATATCACTAGAATAATGAAAAGGTTTGTATAAGTAAAAAACAATTTGAAATAAATCAGAAAGCTGAAACGAAAGCATGGCGGGAATGTGAGGATGGATGATGTTCATCCTACACTCGTCTGTTTGAAGTGCCTGACCTGCATTTCTGTATATTATTTGGCTGAAAGACATCATGTTGAGGAAATTACTCTGTAAATCGAAATTCTGGTATCAAAACTCAAAATCAATCATGGCAAAAAAAAAAAACGTAAAGTGAAATACCTTAAATCAAATAATCCCAACAGCCATTCAGGCGCTACAAAGATCTACTTTTTAGGAGTGCTGACACAAGTGCTCATCAGGACAGACAGACAGGAACGTCGGATTTAACCCGGTGCCCACGAGTAGGTGTGTGACCAGATGTCCCGGGTGGCGTCTCACCTTTCGGAGTCCTCACTGGCGGCTGTAGAGGACGCCGTGGAGGCCTGGGAAGTCGAGAGTGGCTCCTGCTCCAGCTCCCCATCCTCATGCCCATCTTGTCTGAGGGCTGGCACTTTGGCACATGCCTTCGCAGCCACCCCCACTGGCTGTTTGAAGTCCCTGGAACCAGAGGCAGAGGCGGGCTTGGGACGGTGCTTCAGATGGGCAGCACTGGGGTCCTGGCGCCGGCCAAGGACCTCCTCCTCGGAGTCAGAGCTCAGCAGCTGATGGGTGTACTGGTAGATCTCCTTCAGCTTCAGGACCATCTGTCGCTTGGGCAGTGGACGCACACCAAACCTGATGAAAAGATGAAAGGCTAAAGGTATACAATGTAAAGAAACGAATACGAGAGGTTTGCATGTGTTAAATATAGTATAGAGTCACCATAGTCCTAAGGTAAAGCTATTAGTTTGCTAACAGCTATTGCTAATAAGATTCTGGGGTAGCACCCACTAGAATCTCTTGTCATTAAACATGGTGAAAAAGCAGTATTTCCACTGTTTACATTTCAGGAACCTGAAATGTCATGAATTGGCAATTACACGACTCTGCAAAGAGCTTTCAATATTAAAGGACAGTTACAGCCATGCACACACCTGACCTGGTCAGATTTCTATGGTTTACGTGCCCAACAAGAGGAAGAGAGAAGCAAGAGAAAGGGAGCCGTCGCTACAGGGGGAAAAAATCCCAGAGAAAACACTGAAAAGGCTCTTTAAAGAATTATTAAGGAGGGCAATTACTTGTTGAGGCGGTTCTTCAGCTCAGGTGTCTCCATATCAGAGTAGCCGGGCATAGGGGTGATAGGCTCCAGGGGGGGCTGGTTCTTCCTGCAAGTGGACACTACAGAACAGTGCACAGGGACAGGAACATTAATGTAAAGAGGGAAAATGAGACGGTAGTAGAAACAAAGTCACCGAATGAAGTAACCAAGTAGCAAGAATAATCCAAAGTAGCAGCATCGCAATGTGCAATGTTGCATATTAAAAAGTCCATTAACGATACACAAAAACCAGACGCACCTGGCGTCTTCAGCTGCGTGACTCTCTTGGATGGGGCTATGGGACACACTCTTTGTGAAAGAGGAAGGTCCACTTGCTCTTCATCTTCCTCCCAATCATCCCAGATCTTGGAGTCCAGCATGCTGGCACAGAGTTTGGGAGGAGTCCGGTGGGTTGCATGATCAACAGGAGGAGCAGGTGGAGAGATGTGCCCTGTCCCAGCGTCACCCTGGTCTGGCTCCGGAGGACCGGTCCCAGTGCTGGAGTCCATCCTGAGGCTAAAACGAGTGCCCATTCCCCAGGAGTCATCGAAAGGCATGGGTGGCTCGTCCATAGCACAGGAGATCTGCCCCGGCAATGACCCATCCTCTGGCTCCTCAAACAGATTCTCCTCTGTCTTTGACAAATTTCCATTGCCGGGGCTCCGGAGGCAGTCAGACTCCCTGGAGGACCTGTTTCCTGGAGACTCCCTTGGATTCACCCCCAAGTCAGAATCTCTCTGCGTGGACGGTGAAGTTGCTACGAGGGAAAGATGCAAAGATCCTGGGCTGTCCCCTTGAGGGGTCTCCGCAGAGGGCTCGTCAGCAGAACCTGTTCTTTTGGCAACACTGCTCTGGATGGTGCCTGAGCTGTCCTCACTGTCGCTGTGGAGAACAGAGTACCGCAGTGCGCCGGGACGCAGAGCCAAAGGGGTACTGCTAGCTGCCGGTGGCACACCGGTCCATTCAATTCCAGTGCAACTGGAGGCCCGTCTGGATAACCCTGGTTGTGCGTGCGAGCTCTCCACAGACCTGCCGTCTGGTCGGATAAGGTCTTCTATCTGGCAAACTTCAACTGCAACCGTGTTCCCTCTCTTTAAACTATCTTCCTTATTCAAACCAGAGTTGCCGTGGTTCGAACTGTGGAAACTGCTGCTGACCAGTTTCCCTGTGATGCCCATGGAGGCTGTACTGCAGTGCCTAATTCCGTCTGGGTGACGAAATGTACCATTATGTTTCGGGGTCATAGATGTCACAGGGATGCTAGCAGAGGTAGGCGAGGATGATGATGATGACCTTGATTTGTTATCAAAGGACCTTGGAAAGAGCTGTGTACGGAACATGCTGCTGTGAGTCTGTGTATAACTAGCTCGGGTCACCTTCATGGGACATACTGGTGTTCCTGGGACCAGCCAGGAGCTGTCAACAGAGCTGTCCATGTGGGAACTGTTCGCTGGGGCTTGCAGAGTTTCTGTCTTACTTGCCGATTGAGATGGTTCCTCCAGTTCCCCAGGTTCAACTCCAGGATTATCTATATCACCTAACTGGTTTTCAGGTACAAGTGGAGTCTGCTGATTTTGGACAACATGAGTCTTAACATCTTCATTCTTTGGATCCAAATCCATTTCATCACCAGAGTCAGACAGCACGATCACCTCTGGCGTTATACACCGTTCCCTACAACCGGAAGAG